AGTTAGTGCCAGCTGAAAAAATAAACTAATGTCAGTAGTATAAAACAAAAACCCAATTGACAATATCATAATGCTACTGGTCAAAGCAAATAATCCAGTTATTTTCAAGCCAAACGCGGAAAATTATATCTAACGTAATCTACATGCAATGATCTTGTAGAGTCACATACTGGGTTTACTATGGTAAAACTGTAATGAAGTGCTCAGGTTTGTCAGTTACCTGCTGCTTCAGTGCGTCTCTCTCTCAGACTTGCTGCGGACACTCCACACGCAGGACCAAACTGTAAACCGTCCAAATAAAGTGCTACTCTGAACTATTATCATACACATAAATGACTAAATAAATAAACAGAGAATTTGTGAGGTTGGAAACATTTCTGAGCTTTGCTTCTCAATCAGTGTGGAGGAGTGTCCATGCGGCCAGTCTTCTTCTTCTGATGTTTATTGGCGGTTTTGGCAAACCAACTTAAAGGTGCATTACCGCCACCTACTGATCTGGAGTGTGGAGTGAACAGATTTGGTAGAGAGAAGGCATGCGGCCAGTCGAAAACGCATACGGCAGTAAAACCTCACCTGATTGGCTGAAGAGCGTCCCTAGTATGTTACAGCGTGCTCTGATTGGTCCATTGACCAGCGAACGTACGGAAACGTCGTGAGACAAGTGTCATATACACAAAAGGGTTTGAAACGATTTCATTTAGAAAACACACTCAAAGTAGTGATTTAAAAGTTATTATCTTGTAAAGTTTGGCCCAATGAACGGTGCGTTTGGAGAGTTTTTACCTTTTTAAATGTCCGTACACCATTAACCATGGAAACGTGTTTCCGCCACGGGATAAAAAATAAAAAGGTAACCAATTGCGACTAAATAAATAAATAAATAAAATGTGTATATATGTGTGTATATATATATATATACAGGTGCATCTCAATAAATTAGAATGTCGTGGAAAAGTTAATTTATTCCAAAGTGCGAGGAATAAAGTCCGTATTGTAAGATAAAAAGTCGCAATAACTGTTATAAACTATCCCGTGGCGGAAAACTGTCTTTAAAAGACTAATACATCTAACCTTATAAGGCTACAGTATACACTCTTTTTATATTAAATGAAAAAGCGGTATAGATACGCAACAAAACACTGTTATAGACTATATATAAACATGAAGTACACACAATGTGACATACACATTTTGTTCAATACGAAACAATTAATTGAGACAGACCTAACTTACCCCAGATAGCACACCTACGTCTGCAAGTGTCTGTTAAAGATCGCTTCATCTGGAAAGTTTTACATACATTCTAAATCATAAACATCTTAAAGACATCTTCTAAACGTCTATCCCTAGTATGTTACAGCGTGCTCTGATTGGTCCATTGACCAGCGAACGTACGGAAACGTCGTGAGACAAGTGTCATATACACAAAAGGGTTTGAAACGATTTCATTTAGAAAACACACTCAAAGTAGTGATTTAAAAGTTATTATCTTGTAAAGTTTGGCCCAATGAACGGTGCGTTTGGAGAGTTTTTACCTTTTTAAATGTCCGTACACCATTAACCATGGAAACGTGTTTCCGCCACGGGATAAAAAATAAAAAGGTAACCAATTGCGACTAAATAAATAAATAAATAAAATGTGTATATATGTATCTTCTAAACGTCTATTTGACATCTGAGAGGAAACGTCCTATAGACGTATCGCAGATGAGCAAACATTAAAAGATGCAGATGTAAATGCAGACCTTCATATAGAGCATATATGTGCAATCTGGGACATAACAGAGAAATTCACTAAAATAGAATGTCCTCTACAGAAGACAAAAGTCTATGCCTGGGTCCCAGGAGGATATGCATCTATAAATTCCTCATACAATAAACTAGATGCCCCATACATTATAAACAAGTATACACAAGAACGCATTGCAACAGCTACAATTTACTCGTTTGATATGCGACACACCGTCTGTTTATGGAAATGGATGTTTGTGACGTCAGAGGCAGCCCGCGCTCTGATTGGCGGAGGCCTGTGGAGTGTTTACTCCTCGGAGCAGGAGCTGCACTTACTAGCTCGAGCCACCGCTAGAGGAGGAAGTCCGTGGTCGAAAATAAGAGTTTTATTTGCCCGTTTTCACTACCGCGTCGATAAAAGCACTTTCAACAGCTGTGGAAACTCTTTGAATCCCTAAACCGAATCACTGGAGCAGGTCAGTGGCGTTTAAGAGGCGATTTTCCGTGTTGTTTTGAACAAAGGAACATGCCAAAGACACTGGCCTGGCCTGTTGAGTTCAGCTGCACTTGAGCTGATTGATCTCAAACAACCGTTTGCTCTGACATCTGGTTGTTTTTCACAGTTTGATTGCGTCTTCCGTTTCAGCTCATGCAAAGTCTTCACGATGAAAACCGAAGTCTCTACTGCTGCTAACTTTGTCACACGTCTGTTGAGAGGAACGGGGCTGCTTTCAGAAGAACAGCTGCAACAGTTCAGATTCTCTTTGGAAGAAGCTTTAGGGGGTAAGAGAGCATCAGGCATGACCTTTCCATTGTTTAGAAGTAAATTCAACTACATCATGGTCCAAATTTTGTAGTTTACAATGAAAACAAACATTGTTTTGAACAAAGCAGATGAAGATGAGACTCAGGTTATTGCAGCACCAAAGTCCATTTACTGAAACTTGCACCATTTTGTGTCTTAAAGTACCAGAAACTTTGGCAAAGAATTGCAAATAAGGCCATGTTTGATTGCTCCAAGGCCTAACTTTCTTCTTTCATTGTAGATCATTATCGGCACCACTGGTTCCCAAACGCACCCTGCCGAGGTTCGGGTTACAGGTGCATCCGGATCAACCACAAGATGGACCCTTTGATAGGCAAAGCGGCCTGTATGATCGGACTCACAAAAGAGCAACTCTTTTCACTGCTGCCAAGCGAACTCACCATGTGGGTCGACCCGTATGAAGTGTCCTACCGGATCGGAGAGGACGGGTCCATATGTGTCCTCTACGAGTCCACACCTCCAGACACAAACCAGCCGGAAAGCTGCAAAGATGAACTGAGAATCGGACAGTCGAGTCCGTCCAAATCCTTCGGCATGATGACCTGCTCCAGCTGAAGAGTGATTCTGTGTAATTAGCTGCTTGTGAGCACAGTAAATCAGGCATCGCTCACATTCAATTTCTTTTTGAACCTTGTTTTTTTTAGACAGATTTTTTTTTTAATCAACAGTGAAATCTTCATCCTGTTGACCTCATGGTGAAAACAGATGTATTTTGATTAAGTGTGTTTTTAAGCTCCCTGTACAGTCATGTTGAATATGTTTTTTAAAATTTCTATACTTTTTCTATTAATTTCTAAAAAAAAATAACAAAATTAAACTGTCTTTTGTGGTTATTCCATGTAACTGTATTAGATACACAGATTTAATCAGAGCATAAGCCATACAAGAGACTCTTTATACTTACAATGTATTAATTACCTTATTTTTCTAACACTTAACATGTTTCTTAATAAGCAAGCACCTTATAATAATTAGACAAGCTACAAATTTAGCATCTTTCTTAAAAACTACAAAAACTAATTTACTCTTCCAAAAGTTTTATGGATATGGGATTTACCTTACATAATAAATTAATATTAATTACAATTAAATATAATAGAAGTCAAACATTCCCCCCCAATTTCATAGACAAGGTTTAAGCCTAGTCCCAGACTAAAATGCATGCCTGGGCTGTTTTAACAGAAAGACATATCTTAAAATATGTCGGTGCCATTGTTTTGTCTCAAGATGCACAGAAGTATTTTCTAATCTAAGGCACGTTTATAAAAGATACTTGTATGTCCTAATTAAACTATGGCTTAATCCTGGCTTAACCTAAGCCCTGTCTGTGAAACCAGGCCTAAATCTTTAAATTATATTCTTAATTGAATGAAAAAAAGAAAAAAAAATCCAGAACAAAGAATTAGATTTCTGGATGTGAATCACAAAATAAAATGTTGAATCACTATTATAATTTACTTTTTGCTTGGTAATACTTTTTATGGATGATCTTAAAGAACATTTCTTTAATTTTGTTTGTATTTCAATATTTATAAGACCTTTTCATTGATTTTTCTTAGTCTCCTTACATTTACATGAGCATTTGAAATCATGCATAGTCATAAATGTATACATTACTTTAGTAGTCACTTAATTATTTGAAAAAGTTTTAATTGTCCTACTAGACCAAATACAAGAAACTTCGGCCTCTAAAAAAGTCCCTCACATTTTATTGCTTTAGTTTAGAATTTTTAGATTGAGATTTTCTAATTCTTTGCCAATACAGAAACCCTCTACAATCCCAGCCTATTAAACATATTTTTAAGTTCTTTACATGCAAATTATATGCAATAATTATATTAATATTGATGAGGTATACAATTTAAAATGTATTCAGGTGATATTTATAAATTATTTATGTGTTAATTAATTATTTATAACTTATAAGTCCAAAAATAAGATGTTTTGAGTTTTTCTGAGTAAATCATGTGCAAGCGAAAAGAAAAGAAAAACAGCAATCATGTATTCATGACATAATTTTATAGACACAGTCTTATAATTTTTCGTAAGATATACAATTTGAAATGTATTCAGGAAAAAAATAAATATAACTTTTTTCAATAAATCCAACCATGATATATATATACATATATAATAAAAATAAAAATATAACATTTATATTTTTATTATTTTATTTTTGGATCGATAATACTTATAAATCTTTCTGTTGTTTTTCTCTGAGAAAATCATGCGCAAGCGAAAAGAAAAAGGAAGGAAGACAGCAATCATGCGTTCATGACATCATTCTATTGATACGGTCTATAAACTGCTTCAGTAACGGGCGAATGTTTGATTGTCACTTTCAGCATCCAATCATCGGACGAATTTAACAATGACAAACACTTCTGGCCAATGAAAAACCGCAATCTCTGCGTCTGGCCAATGAGAGCGCAGAGGGGGCGTGTCTTCGCGAAAGGGGTATGTCAGACGCGGCTCCTCCAGAAGTTTTGCGCTTGACCGCGATCACCTCGCCCGGACTCTCAAATCTGCGCCAAACCCCCATCAGTTTACGGTTCTTCTGGGTTATGGAACTGGATAAAATGGACGAAAACGACTGGAAATATCACGGGGAGGGCAACAAGAGCCTGGTCGTGTCTCATTTGCAGGTTTGTGTTTAATAGTTACTAGCTTTTAGCTTAGCCAAGATTCATATAAACTCTATCGAATCGGATTCAGTCAACAGAAAATCAAATCAAACTACTTGGAAAGGACCTAAACATAAAGTTTGGTAATCTTATACCACTATTAAACGGAAACAAACTGCTTCTTTGTCTTAAAAGGGTGTTGTCAGGGCTTTAAAGCTAAAAGCCACCTAGCAGGCTAAACCAGGATTCATTGATCAAGTGAATGTACTATATGTGGCTCTTGTGTGTTACCCATGTCACACCCACTTTATGAGCTCTAAAGTTCATTAAATCTATTTCACTGGCATATGTAATGCTGAGATTCATTTAATGAATGGTCAGTGGTGATGTTTTAGTTTGTGGATGGTTCTGTGCATCTAAAATTGGGTCTTTATTGGCGATAAGATTATATCCACTTAACATTTTCCCCGTCCAGGCTTCAAAGTTCAGATTGGAAACCTTTAACAGTTTCCCCCTTCATTGGGTAAAAGAAAATGGGGGTCTAGACCGGTTTTAGACCACCATGATGGATGGTAATAAATTTGTTGTTCACTTTTATGGCTGATCTTTGGGAAGAAAAGTACAATTAGAGACTAAAAAGATCTTGGCATATGAATTTTCAACAATGTAATATTGTTTTAAGTTATTACTTAAGTTATTGCATGTAAAAAGACTTTTGCTAGAACTTGGTCTAAGCACTAAACTCTTGGTCTAAACTCTCCTTATTTGGACAAAGGAGATACATTTTTAATAAATCTATTCCAAATAAGTCATAATTTATGTCTGAGTTATTATAAGTAATGGAAACTGTATGTAAATAATTAATGTATCGGTTCATTCAGCATGTAGGTGAGTCCTCGTCTCACTAGCATTGCAATGTCAAGGTCCTGTTTTGTTAAGATCGAGGATATAATGTTCCTGTAAAACGGAAAGAGCTTAACCTTTGTCTGATTTTCCAGCTCGTTTGTGATCGTCTGTACCATCATATGATAAATAAAAAGTTTGGAGTCATAAATGGGCTGGATCTGTATTACAGATTACAGCACAGAATTGTGTGTCCAATCACAGGAAGCTGCCCGAGACAACATTGACCAATATGTTGATAAAATCATGTCAAAACTGTGTGGGGAAAACGAGTGAAGCTTTGATGCTTGTCCATCTCTATTTGCTGGTTACTTTCACACTCCCACACTCTCCTTTTTTGTCACGTCGCCTTGTCTGGTTTTAAAGGGGTCCTATTTATGCTTTTTCACTTTTTCAACTTTAGTTAGTCTGTAATGTTGCTTTTTGAGCATAAAAAATCAGCAAAGTTACAACGCTCAAAGTCCACTTCAAAAGGAGGTATTTTATTTAACAGAAATCACTTTTCAAAAACTACAACGATTCGCAGGCGGCTATGGTAAGCATGACATTTCCTGACCAGGCACCGAGTGCTGCCAATTAGTGCTGGGCGGTATACCGGTTCATACCGAATACCGGTGTTTATTTTTGTTATGATATTAATTTTGAAAATACCTCAATACCGGTATATGTCACTTAAACAACGTTCGGAACGCGACACTGTTTGAAAGGGGTCACTTTCACTGGTGCATTGTGGTGATGGAACAGCTGTATGTGTTACTAAACTTGAAAGTTCCGAAACTGAAGCTGAAGAACTAATAGAACGTGATGACACAGAAGAACTCATCCACAATATCCACATTGACCGCCACAAATATCCACCGCCC